TATGGTAACTAGTTCTTATAAGAAATAGGTATAAAGTGATAATAGAATGAGTACATAAATTCTTACAACTGTTTACGTATAAAAATATAAATTTATATCCACCCCTCAACCAAAACATGTAGAAACATTTTTACTCATCATCTGCCTCACAAACACAATTTTCTACTCATTTTCTACCCTTTTTTTTTAATTTTAAGAAATCTTACAAAGTGCTTAAAAAAATAATTATATAGGTTTAGGGTGAGCTAGCGGGGTCTCCCATCGTAATGCTCTTCTCAAATTCTTATCACGCTAACATGTCAACATTGTCATATTCAATTTTTTTTTTTCAGGATTTTAATTAATTAAATTAAAAGGATAAGAAAAAGCCATATTTTATTTTTACCCTATTATTAGTAAAAATATGAAAAAAAAAAAAAAAATCATATAATCAATAAATATGTGATGCATAGATAAATAAGTAATGTGGAAACCCAAACTTTTTCTCATTTTCCACTCTCCAAATTTTAATTTCTGTTTAGAGCGGATTAACAAATTCACTTTTTTTTGTTTTGCTTTCTTTCAAGTCGGGGCTTTAAACTAAAAGTACGGCATCGGCCGGGCCTTGCAACGATGACGTTTTGGAGAAGGCTTTTAATATTCCTTCGTTCTTTCTTTTGATTTGGATCTCAAAACAGGATGTAATATTTTATTTTTTCTTTTCAAATAATAAAGGAGAAATTCAACTACTGCTGGATTCTAAACTTTGAAGGTTTAGTTTTTTTGATTGTTTTTATTTATTATTATTAATTGTATATAATATTCTTAGAATATACATCTAAATTATATTAAGATAATTCGTTTACATTATAAAATAATTCGTTTACTATTTTATCCTAAATTTGTGACTAAAATGATCAGTATAATAGTTAGTATCTACTTCACTTTTAATACTATTAGCAATTATTTTTTTTTTAAATTTTAAAATTCCAAAATGATTTAAAAATTTTAATTTTTTTTTTCTTTTCTGCAGGGTTTTACCCCTTTTCCACCATTATGTCACACCTAATTTCATCATAAAAACATAACTAAATGTACTTTTATTGTCATTTAAATCTCTAGCATATTCATTATATATAAAGCTAAATAAATTTGATTTTTTTTTACCTCTCTTGTACATTATTTTATAATCATTCGTGCGTTGCATGTGTATGAAAATATGTTTTATTACTAAACAATGCATATCCTTTTGGATATTGCATGAACCTGTTGATTAGATTCGTAGCATGCATTATGTATGGCTTTGTTACAGTTAAACACATCAAGCTTTTTATATATATATTTTTTGTACAGAGTTCTATCAACCCTTTTTTCATTTGAATCTTTAATAAGCTTTAAACTTGTTTTTGCACGATACAATAATCTCGCATTAGAAACCTATTTAAAATTTCTTTCTGCACATTTTCTTATTGAACAACATCTACATAAAGGAAATAATGCATTATTATCAAAATTAGACAAATCAAATTCTATCATCATGCACTCCTTTGATTTATAAAACATGACCTTATAAAACGTTCATGTATCTTCTCTATTTATAAAAAGTGTATATCCATAAAGATATTTGTGAAAACCTTCCTTCAGAAAATAGGCTTCAGTGAGACTATACAAAGCTCATGAAGTTGGTTTTAGTCCATGTAAAGACTTTGAATTTAACACTTTGTACTCCTCTTCTATCTGAGTGTTGTTCCTTAATCATCGTTCCACATTTAGAATTTCAAAAGTTCATTAAAATTTATTAACACAAATCAAGTATTGGCATCATCAAAATCAATATAAGTATTGATAGATCACAAAACTTAATTAAAGTTTTAAATTTAAATCAAAATTTGAGGTAACATTTATTAGAGTGTTTCTCAATAGTAATACCGATGTGATTCCATGAAGGCTAAAACCCACCCCCAAGAAAGTGTCCCACAAAAAGTAGAACACCTGCAAAATTCTAAGTGCCCATAAGAAAATTTCTCGCATTTTGGCAGATGCATGCATGGGCAGAAGAGCACATATGCGTAGCAAGCCAACCACACGCACACACACACAACAAGGCCTGCATGTATGCATAGAAGAAGCACGCGCATGTGAAACACGCACACACGCACATGCAGAGCATGAGGTAGTGAACTCTCACGCCCTTGCAAATTCCCAGTCATGTGATAAGAGGGATTCCTACCTTAAGTTGGATTCACGCAAGCCTAAGGCCCAAAGAGGAAATTATTTTGAAGCTTCCAAGCTTCATAAATCATTCTAGCCTAAGGCCAGCACAAAAGGGTCCAAGGAAGTCGACCTAAGGAGCTTGGGCCCAAGATTCAAATGCCAATTAGCCACGATCAAAGGGAACGACCCAAAATAGCGATCTAAAGTCCAAATTGAGTAGAGCCAAGGAGCTTCGCAACTTCAATCTTAGAAGATTAAGAAACAATAAGGTTACGCCCAATAAAGAAAGGCAAGCTTCGTCTTAGCCTGTTCTGGGCTCTTGGCCCATATGGTTGAGAAGGGAAAAAAAGAGGAAGGCCCGCTTATGTGGCTTGGCCTTATTTCTCTATGACCTTTATTAAAAGGCCCGATCTTGAGGAAGATTCCACCTCCATAGCCAACGAGAAGAAGGAACAAGAAGCTGAAGCTAAAAAGTAGTCAGCCAAGAAGATTCTTGAAAGAAAAAGGCACAGAGGCCGAGATGGAGGAAGAGATTGCCAAGTGGAGTTCAAAGCCAAGAAGGAATTACCTTTTTTCCACCATTACAACCGAGATAAATTCCTCTTCACTATGGAAGGTTCTATGCTAGAAGAGTTAGTCATAAAGAAGGAAACATCATTCCAAGAGAGAGAAAGGAGAATTCAATAAAAAGAATGACATCAAAGCCCTTCACCAATCAGCTAAGATTGTCCTCTTCTTGTCAAATTCCTCTTCCACTCTCCTACTTAAAGTCTCACAAATTCCAACATTCCTACTCAAATTCCTCTAAAGAAAATATTTAAAAAAGAAGAGATTGAATCCAAAAGAAGTATGGAAAATCAACTCGAGGAAGAGACTCAATTGGCCATTTAAGAGGAAGTTTCTTCAATTAGTAGTTTGAGTATTATTTTAGATTAGGGTTATATTATTTTAGTATTTAATTTAAGTTTCCTAGTCTAAGAGGTATTAAGAGCTTAAGTCGAATTAAACTTTGTATTTCGAATAAGATTCATAGAATAAAAACCTAGATAAAGGCTTCACCCTTAGTCTTGTAACAAAAATTCAGAAATTTAATAAATCAGATTATTCAATAAACCTTGAGATAACTCTTTCCACTTTGT